ATATTTTTTTAGAAAAAATTCTATTGCACACTTAATAGACTATAGCAGGCGTCCTCAGTCTATGGCCTGCGGGCCACATGCAGCCCGCCTAGGACATTTATCCAGCCCACCAGGTGTTTTTGCCGCCCGCTGCCTGTCCTGCTTAGCAGCCAATTAGTCCCAGACCCTGCACTATGGCCCTCCAACAGTCTGAGGAACAGTGAACTGGCCCCCTATTTTAAAAGTTTCAGGAACCCTGTACTATAGTATGGTGCAAACATAACGTTTATATGCACTGAAAAGCCATAAAATTTGTGTGACCTGTCTTATTGGAATATTCATCATATTGCAATGATCTGAAACTGAACCTGCACTGTCTCTGAGAGAGATACAAGAAAGAAAGGCATACATAAGTTTTGTGGGTCTATTAAAAAATAATGTGACTTTGGCCTAAAACATAAGGTGAGAAAAAAATGAAGTAGTAGCATTAATATGCAGAGCTATGGCTAATAATATTCTAAACTTATTAAAATACATCAAATCTCAAAATTATGATTTGCATATGTGTGAAAATTTAATCCAGAACTAATTTAACAAAGAAAATAATATATCACAATAAATTTTTGCTTCTTCCAGGAAGAAATGTTGAGTGTTCGTAAATTTTAAACTAAAAAATGTTTGGTGTTCATAAATACGTCCACCTGATGTCAGTAAATGAAATATGAAAACAAATGATCTTTTCCAATGATGCAGATAAACATGTATAATTCCGTATGCATTCATAATAAGGAAACAGCACAAAATCATGGAATGATGCTTGAGGTAACCAAAACTAAAACACATAGCACATTAAGGTACAGCACACACAATGGAGATATTTTTAAAATTCTCCAGTATTGGGAAGAAGTTAGTAATCAATATTTCCTTTAAATACTATTATGAGGATGCTGTACTGTACAATAAAATAAGATAAACAAATTTACGTCTCTCTTTACCTCTCTCTCTTTTCTCTTTCTCTTTCTCCCAGTTTGGATAGGTAGAAAAAAATTATTCATTGCCTACTTATTATAACCATATTTATTATATTATAATATTTAACCTAATTATTATAACCATAATTAGGCACTAAAGAAGCCAAAAAATAGTAAGTACAACTAACAAGGTAATTTGATATGTGTATAAATGTACATAGTCATTCATAAAAAGGCAAAATTAAACCTAAATAAAATGGACATAAGATAAAACTAAAATGCTAAGGTATAAAAAGATAGGCAACATTACACAAATAATTACTGAACAGAAGTTAAGAAAATTTATTGAAATTAAAGTACTTACTATACACATTGATTAGAAAACTGTTTTTTAATTTCTCTCTAGTCAATCTTTATCATTTATGCAAATCACAAAAGTGATTTTTGATGGAAATTGAATATGTCATTTAAAATAGGATGTGAAAAATCAAAGAATCAAGCATAATCAATATAATTTTGAAGAACAAGTTAGGTACTCTATCAGCTACCCAGAGTTATAAAAGCACAGTAATTAAGGTACTGTGATATGCACAAAGGATAGACAAATAGGCCAAGGAACGTAAACTATTCGTGCCTTCTTAGACACTTGATTTTGAGAAAAGACATTAAAGATCAGTAGGAATGGAGAGCCTTCCTAACATAAGTTACTGTGCATACATTAAAAATAAATGAATGAATTCAAAAAAGAAATAAGAAATAGATTTGAGTCTATCTGTCACCATACTAAAACAAAAATAAAAATAAAATAAAAATAAGTAAATAAATGTCAGGTAGGGCAACTGGTTCATGCCCTATATTCCTTGCACTCTGGAAAGCTGAAGCAGGAGGATTTCTTGAGCTCAGGAAGTTAAAGATAAGCCTGAGCAACAGTGAGATCCATCTCTACTACAAATAGAAAAATCAGTGGGGCATGATGGCATGTGCCCATGGTGCCAGCTACTCGGGATGCTGTGTCATGAGGATCTCTTCAGCTCAGGAGGTAGAGGTTTCAGTGAGCGATGCTGATGCCACTGCACACTACCAAGGACAACATAGAAAAACTGTCTCCAAATAAATAAATAAATATCAGGTGGATGGTGGGCAAGATATAAGCAGAAACATAGATCTTTGGGAAGATAATAGGACATTACATTCTTGTTATATGGGCTGTAAAAGATACTTTAAACAGAACAAAAATATCCTAAAAATTGGATTAAGGACTATACTAAACTTAACCCTCTATTAATCAAAGGATCTAATTATATGAGTAAAAGGCAAGCCATATAACTTGCCTCTGAAAAACACTCATATCCATAATCTAAAATAACTCCTAAAAATAAAAAATAGAAGTAAATTTAATAGAAAAATATACATAAATTCATTTTCACATGGAAAATGTGCAAATGATCAACATGTTATTAGACATCAAGTAAATGCAAATTAAAACAATGAGTTTCCACTAAAATAACAAGTAAGGACTAGGATAGACAGTAATGGGAAATCTCTTAAACTTCTTTTGTAATGTCACTTAGTATCATCAACTTAGAAATCAGCTTGGTACAAAAGAATATGCACAACAATGTTAAGAGTATTATTATTCCAAAAAAAAGAGAGTATTATTATTTTCAATAACTCAAAATATAAAGGGAATATGTAAACATATTTGTATATATTCATTAAACATAATCTTCTACAATAATAAAAATTTATGGGCTATTGGTATATAAAACATCATTATGCATTATACTCACATTGTTAAAAGATAAACAATTTTTTATTTATTATTTTTTAACCTTTATATAAGTTCAAAGTTTATTATGTCAGAATAGGCTTTGAACCTATTTAAAGTTTAAATACTGACATTATTATAATTTTGCTAAAGATGAAAGTCATGATAGTGGTTGCTTCTGGAAAGGCAAAAGAAAGAGAGATTTTCAGTGATCACAAAGGTCTCTCAGTTACCAGTAGTATTCTATTATTTTGCAATGTGGTCTCTTTGTGGGCTTAATAACCACAAGGTTCTGTCTTAATCTTGTCTTAATTTTGCTTAACTGATTGTTGACCACTTGACTCAGTTTATTTAATAAGAGATTTCTAATAACATGCTTTAAAAGAAAACCACTGAGTAATAGTCCCATACTTTTTAAAAAATTTCACATTACTATGAGAGTACTAATTTTTAGGTTGCTTTTTTCTCACTTTCAAGGTAAAGTTCAAGTTGTAGTAGACCTCTTCATGGGGGGTGCTGTTCATCCTCACTTTGTACACAGTAGGTGAGATGTGTGTTGATAGCCCTTGCTCCTCCCTCCAATGGCCCTCCCCTCATACCCCTCCCCTTTCTTCCTTTCTCCTTCCCCTTGCTAGTCTATATTTGTGTTTTATCATTCTTGTGGGCATATAATTATTTATACATTGGTTTCATATCAGCGATGAGTACAATGTATTTTTTCCATTCTCGAGATACTTTACTAAGAAGAATGTGTTTCCTCTCCATCCAGGTAGATATACAACATGTAAAGTCTCCATCTTTTTTAAGTGAGCCCGTCAGTGAAAGTCTCCCTGTTCTGAATACACTGCCAACAAATCAACATTCTTACCTTAATATCCAGCAGTTCCACAGTTAACATCACCTGATACTGCCTCCTGGAAGTCCACCAATCTCTTACCTCCTTGCTTCTCATGCTTGTATACCCTAAATTTTATGAGACTCCTGGTTTGCACAGAGACCACACTAGAAAGAGGAACACTAGACATGAGTAGGGTTCTCCTCCTTTACCATGCAATGCATTCAGCCTTTTGTTTCTTATATTACTACTGCTCAATTCTATGTCACTTTTCAATGATCACTTGTTAAGAATACTTATGATTTCTGCACTTTATGTATAGTTCAATGAATGTGTGTAAGACAAAGACTGCCCCTTAAACTTCTGAAAACTTACCAGCAAAATTAAGGAACTCATTGTAAGGAACACCTTAGGTGAGTTCAAAAACACCAGGAGGCTTTTGATAAAGAGTGGCGAAGTTGTATATAACGTTGTGGTTTCACATATTTTGCCAATGTATTTTCTGTTTAATTAAGTCAGTATTTCTCACAGCAAGTGTGTTGACAGCTGGAGATAGTAACCAAAGTTATAAAACAACAGAACCATTGAAACATGGTAATAAAAGATAGGCTTCTTTAGTAAGAGTACATTCTCATTTGTCCTCTGGTTTGGGTGGTTGTATCTACTGCTTTTGATATTAATGCTATCTAATTTATAACTTTAATTTTTTGAGTGTCTTCTTTGAGAGGCTTTCCCTATTTCAATGTCATAGGTGCCACTTCTATTACTTTCTAAAATTTTAATAATTTTACCTTTCCTATTTAGATACACACTATAGCTGAAAAGAAATGTAATATTGACTTGTAGTAGCCATTGAAAATTCGATTGAACCAGCAACATTTATTGAAAAAACTTTATTTTTCTGATTTTTTTTACAGTTCTTATCTCTCCTTTAATCATTGTTCTATAAAGGCACCTATTTATACTATAATGTTTATTGTTCTGCTTTCTAGCTTTGGAGCAATATGACATGTTATTGCTGCACATTTATTACAATTAAATAATATTTTCTTGCCTACACTTGGACTTTTATGTTTCCACATAGATATTAACTTAACGTTTAAGTTCTACATCTTTTAATTTGGATAAAGATTGAATTGACTATATAAATTCATTTAGAGAGATTGACATTTTAATGGCACTATATTTTACAAAGGAAGATAATTAAATCCTTTTATATTACTTAGTCATCTTTAATTTTTTCCCATATTTTATTATTTTTTGTGTGAGAGGAATTCTTGCATATTATATTTAAAATTTACTCCTAGGTTTATGATGTTTTTAGACAGTATTTTAAATATTATATTTTCATTGTGCTCTTTAAATACATATTGTTACTGTATAAAAATAAAATTAATATCTGCATATTGGCCTTGTTAAGAAATGAAAAAAAAAAAAACAACTTACTGTGCTCACTTCAGAAGCACATATACTAAAATTGGAATGATCCAGAAATTACCATGGTCACTGCACAAGAATGACATGCAAATTCCTGTAGCATTCCATATTTCTTCTTATGAGCTTTAAAATCCCAGCCCAGCAGGGTCTGAATGCTGAGGAAACAATCAGGCAATCACCAAAGACTAAGTTCCTAATGACCATAGAGGTTGCTGGCTATGCTCTCTGTTTCCTAAAAAAGAACACAGTGCTGCCTTGTGTCCCAGCAACAAATTGCAACATATTGTCATCAAGAGCAAGGGCTTCTGTTTATTTGGCCTGGAGAAAGAGTATGGCTTTGCTCACCTGAGGTCACTTCAAGACCTAAGCTCTGAGACAAGGTAATTTGAAGTAAAGGAGGCAGTGAGAAGGAAAAAAGAGGAAAATGGGGGAACAAGAAGAAAGAACACACGAGGAGGAACCAACAGAAAAATTCAAGCAACATGAAAAACCAAAACAGAGGAACTCCCCCAAGGGACCACAAGGCAGGCAGCTATTACAGAAGACTCCACCTATGGAGAATTAATGGATATGAAAGGAAGGTAATTTAAAATATAGATGATAAAGATAATAAAAGAAATGAATGAGAAAATGGTAAGACAGAACCTAAAGTCAGACAAGAGATATGTAGAATATAGAAAGGATATGGCAGAGCTTAAGTAAAGGAAGGAGATAATCAGTGCATATAAGATATAGTAGAAAGTATCAAAAATAGGTTAGAACATGGAAAAGAAAGAACCTCAGAGCTGGAGAATAAAGTTTATTCAAATTACCCAGGTAGTTAAAGAGGCAAAAAAGAAGAGAGAGAAAGCAAAACAGGTGCTTAGAGAACTACATGACTCTATGAAGCATTTAACCATACAAATAATAGGGATTCCTGAAGGGGAAGAAGATTGTCATAAAGAAATAGAAGCCTTACTAAAGACTATCATAAATGAAAACTTCCCAAGTTTTATTAAAGACCCCAACACACTCTTTTCAGATGGATATTGAGCCCCATGTCATCTCATCTCAAACAGAGCCTCCCCATGGCACATTGTATTGTTGCTTGAATTTTTCTGTCTGAAGTCAAGATGAAAGAAAAAAGTCTGCAAGCAGCCAAGAGTAAGTGCCAACTGACCTAAAGAGGCAGAGCCATTAGGATGACAGTAGACTTTTCAACCGAAACCTTCCAAGCCAGAAGAGCATGATCATCCATCTTAATATTCTCTCTCTCTCTTGCTTTTTTTTT